AGGAGGTGGTGGGTGGGGGGGTGAAGGTTTGGAAGCTTTGCCCACAGCGGCCTCACCTGGCACCCCCCTGGTCCCACAGAAACACCTGGCTGGCCTGGGTCTGACTGAGGCCATCGACAAGAACAAGGCCGATCTGTCACGCATGTCAGGCAAGAAGGACCTGTACCTGGCCAGTGTGTTCCACGCCACTGCCTTCGAGTGGGACACGGAGGGCAACCCCTTCGACCAGGACATCTATGGGCGTGAGGAGCTGCGCAGCCCCAAGCTTTTCTACGCTGACCACCCTTTCATCTTCCTGGTTCGAGACTCCCAGACTGGCTCCCTGCTGTTCATTGGGCGCCTGGTCCGGCCCAAGGGCGACAAGATGCGAGATGAGTTGTAGGGCCCTGGGGCAGGCGTGGGATGGCAGGAGGCAGCTGCAGGCTCCTGAGACACATGGGTGCTATGGGGGTGGGGTGAGCTGAGGTACCGACCTTGGGTGTTCCATGGGGTGGGCGGGTGGGGGAACAGCAGGCTTCCTGTGTGTCGGAGCGGATCTTCCAGCCGGGGTTCGCCCTGCTTGGACACGGGCTCCCAGATCCCATGGCACTGCGCCCAGCCCCACGTCCTGTGGGGCCTGGGCAGTATCGCCATGCCCCACCCTCCCGTTCCCTCAATCAGTGTTCATATTTATAGCCAAGTGCTTTCTCCCATGAGACGGAATTGAGCTGGGGTTTAGGTAAGCCCTCACGGAATGTGGGCCCTCTTTCTTGACACTACCACCACCTCAGCCCCCACCCCAGCTCTGTTCCAATCTCCTCCCAACTCCACTCCACTGTAAAACGAGGTGCTGCTGCCCCTGGGGTAGCTACCCCCCACAGAATTCCTGGCTCCAGTTGGGGGGATCAGGAAATACTTGGTGGGGTGCTCCTGGGCAGACTCTGGTCAAACATCATGGAGATGAACTTTTTCTTTCTTTTAATAGATTTCCAAAGATGGGGAGGGATGGGATAAAATGAGCCTTTGTTGCTGTCAAACCAAAAACTTGTTTGTACAATTATTTTTTTTCAATAAAACTTTTCCAGTGAGATTTTGTTGGAGCATGAAGATGGTTGGGTCAAAGATGCCCAGGTCATTCTTCCTGGGGGACAAGGGTCCTCCTCTAAGCCAGGTTGCTACTAACAGCACACATCAGGCTGTGAAATGCTGGCAGCTGACCACAGATGACGCTGTGTGGCAGGCCTGCTAGGTGCTCGCTCAGGAGGTTGCTTCTCAGCCCTGGCTGCCCTGGAGAGATGGCTGCAGAGTCAGAGTGATGGCACGGGGCCTGGAGCCCAGGGCATCCCATTTCTGTGGTACAAGGTCCCAGGCTTCAGCCCCGCACCTTCCCCTCCAAGCTGACCTCATCCACACCCAGGCCAGTGGGTACCAGCTCGGGTTGCCTGACTGGGCAGTGCTTTGGAAGGAAGGAGCTTGTGGGATCCTTGCTCTATTTGTGTTTATAGCAGACGAGAGACCTGACACCGCCCTCACTTTGGTTCCTTCTCAAGGTCCTCAGGGCTCCTGACTCTGCTGCTCAGGGAGGGAGAGGGCGAGTGGGGTGTATGGGGTAGAAGACCCATGGCAGAGGAGGCAAAGGAGCAGAGGAAACTGGGTTTGAGCCCTATCTCTGCTGCTTGCTGGGTATGTGACCTTGGCCAGGTCACTTCTAGGCACCTCTCTGTCCTCCCTCTCAACTCTGCCCTGGGGGTTGGCCCCAGGAGGGAGCCCCTGCCTGCTGGGCAACCCAGTCGGAGTCAGAGATGTGAATGGGGCTGCAGAAACAGCAGCTGACTAATCCCATTACTACTACAATGGAATTTTAACACAATTGTTTAACACAGTGAGGCCTTCCCTGAGTACCCAGTATAAAAAGCTGCTCCCCATTTTACTTTCTACTGTTTTCTCATTTTACTGACTCCTCGGTGCTTTGAAATTACCCACCTATTTACACGTTCACCTTCCCCATTACTGTGAGAATAGGGTCGGTGTCTTCAGCATACGCATAAGGCACTAAACACTTGAATAAGTGAAAAAGCTGTGCTAGAAGGTCCCTGGGGCTGTGGGAGCCCAGAGGTGGAAGCCACGACTGCCATAGGGAAAATAAGGCAGGTTCCCAGGAGGTGACATGTGGGCCATCTGGAAGGGTGAATAGGCATTTCTTGATCAGAATAATTTTAATAATAGCAGCTGGTACTGCCTTTGTGTTTTGCTGCTGTCTGCCAAACACTGTGTCAGCTATTTGATATGTATATTGTCCCAGCCTCCTAAAAACTTGGCTACGTGGAGGTTATCCCCATTTTACAGGTGAGATAACCGAGGCTGAGAGGTTAAGTGACCTGCCTGAGGCCCTGGGAATTGCTCTGTCAGCTGGGCAATTGTTTTTCATGCCATGGGATGGGCAGGAGAGGAGCTGGCCAGATACTAATAATGAAGGTGCACAACCTTCTCACAGTTTGTATTTGCCATCTGGCTTTCCCCCCACCGTAGCCCGGTTAGGTGGGAAGTCATCCCTATCCTGCAGGTGCAGCTCAGATGGGCAGACTGGACTAGAACCAAGGACCCCTGGACCCAAAGTCCAGCCTGCAACAGCTCCCTCTCCAGGTGAAAGTGGGCAGAGAAGCCAGGCCTGGATGCTCAGATAACACAAATCGGGGCCTGAGGCCACTGGCCTCCAACGGGCACAGAAGAGAATGGTGAGAGGTCTGTGTGCATTGCATCCACTGCACAAGGATGGGTGATGTTGCTGGTGTGGAGGGTGGCAGGGCGGGGGCGGAGGTGGGTAGGTTAGGCTCGGGCTGTTTGGCGGAGAAGGGTTAGGCTTACGTCGGATCTGCCGCGCCATCTCAGGGTAGCTGTTGGAGAGGACCCTCTGAGAATAGCAGTGGAGTCTAGACCTTTTCCTGGGATCAGGGGCTTCAAGTCCGGCCTCCAGGTGGCGCCAGCCTCTTCCAGGACCACTGGGAGGAGGGCGTGGTCCGCATCGGCGGGCCTCAAGGCTTCGATCACCCACCCGAGACTCAGCATGTCCATTCCACGTCCAATCCTGTGTCCCGAGCCCCCGCGGGGGCCGGGCTGCACCAGAGAGAGGCTCGGAGCCCAGGCCCGGGAGAGCACAGCGCAAGGTCCGGGCAGGGGGTGAGCTGGCTGGCGTGGCGCTGCGCGAGTGCGCAGCGGGCAGCAGGGTGGGAGCCGGGGCTGCAGGGCTGCAGGAATCCGAGCAAAGGGACGGGTGCTGGGCCCCTGTGTGGAGTCTACGTATCTTCGGGATCCGAGTCTCGGGTTGGGGCTCAGGCGCTGAACCATCTGGATTTGGCCCCGGACCCAGAACGCGGATCAACCCTTGCTGAGACCCCACAACGCCCCGCCCCTTCCGCACCCGCTTTGTGCCTCCTCACCCTTCCCAGGCCGGCCAGGGAAGGGAGAGGTGGGGGAGGGATGGAGATGATGGATGCTGGGAGGGGCTGGGACAAACCAGGGGCCCTGAATGAAGTCTGCTTCTTGAAGGGTGAGGAAAATCTAGTTCATTTCCTGCCTTTCCCAAGGTCTTGGCCATCAAGGACCAGAGGCCTTGGCCATCACCTCCCTCACTGGCCCTTCTTTCTGTGCAATAGAGAGCTGGGCAAGATGCTGGTGTGGTGGCTGCCTGCAGGATCTCCTGTAATCAGCAGGACCAGGACCCTTTGACAGATGAGGGAGTGCTGCCGGCCGCACAGGCCCCTGGTTCCTCCGGACAGTTTAGAGCCAGCCCTCCTCAGCTTCCTTTTTGCCTTCTTTTCCTACCTCTGAAGTGTCCTGAGCTTTGAGCTGGGCCCCCTTGCCTTTCCACTCTGACACCGTCTGGGAGAGCTCAATGTGTGCGCTCCCCAACATGGGGCTTCAGGGACCACCGCCTTCCACACACACACAGAGGCAGCTTTTTTCAGAGGTGCACACGTGGTAGGCAGTGGCCTCCAGGACATATCCCTGGATGTCACACATCTCAGAGATGGTGTGGGTCGTGGGGCCAGGTGTGTGGGTCGGGGGAGAGCTGAAAGGAGGGAGGTGTCCCATATACAACACTTCTTTAGGCTCAGTGTGGCTCCCAGGCCCCTAAAACACTGATACTTTCTTGGGTCAATGCCTTTGGTTTTAATGAGGTGACTCTTGGTGGGCTCCTGGATAGCTTCGGGATGGGGGCTGGTCACCAGACAGATGAAGCCATGAGTAGAAGCTTAGAACTTTGAGCCCCACCCCCATCCTCTGGGAAGAGGGTGTGAATGACTGATCATTCCTCCATGATGAAGTCTCTAAAAATATCCCAAAATTAGTGGGGGTCAGTGAGCTTCTGGGTTGCTGGAGCTACTGGGAGGTGTCACGCCTGGAGAGGGCATGGGAGCTCTATGCCCCTTCCTCTGGGTGTTCATCTGTGTCCTTTATCCTTTTATGATAAACCAGGAGATGTGTTTCCAACTTCCGTGAGCCATTCTGGCAAACTATTGGGACAAGTAGGGGGTGTGGGAACTCCAATTTAGCCAGTTCGAAGTACAAGTGACATACAATCCGGGACCTGAAGTTTGCATCTGAAGTGGAGGGGACAGTCTTATGGGACTCCCTTACCCTGCAGCAGCTGACACTCTCTCCAGGGAGATAGTTGAGTTAAATTGTGAGTCATCTGGCTCCTGTCGGATAACTGCTTGATGTGTGTGTGGGCAGCCTCCACACTCCTGGTGTCAGAAGTGGAGTATAGGAGTATGAGAGTGAAGGAGAAACACAGGTGTGTCCTGCCCTCCATCTCCTAGCATCCCACACCCTCTCCCATCATGCTGACAGCTTGAAGGAGCTGGGAATTGCTCAGGCTCCTCTTGCCCGGAGGGACGATGCAGAGTCCTGCGTGCCCACTTTCAAATGTGCATGGCACACATACACACACACGCGCATACACACACACACTCTCAAACGGAGCCAGAGAGAGACACTGCTGAGCCAGAGAGACCAGCTTTATTAGATTTCTGCAAGACTATACAATAGTGTTTCATGCAGATTAAATGTGAGTCTTCGCTGCCCTGGGGAGGGATAACTTTCACTGTCAGCTCCTTCCTTGGTGCCCAGGGGTGAGTGTCAAGGGGAACTCTCGATATATTCTGCATGGGGGACAGTAGGGATCATGACTGGGGGTGGGGGTGAGACAGTGGGCAGCTGTGGACCCCTGGGACCTTGAGTCTTCAGAGATTCAGGGACCGCAGGACCTTGGTCCTTGGCTGGTGGTGGCACTAGAGGATCTTGATCTTTCAGAGGCACCGAGATTATAGGGACTGGATTCTTCACAGGCTCGGGGACCACAGGACCTTGGTTCTTTGGAGGCTCGGGGACCACGGGGCCCAGATCCTTGATTTGTTCTGGGACCATAGGACCTTGATTATTTACAGGTGCTGCAACTGCAGAATCGTGACCCTTCAGAAGCTCTGGGGCCACTAAACCTTGGTTCTTTATAGGCTCAGAGAGCGTAGGATCTTCGTTCTTTACAGGGGCTCTGCCCACGGCGCTCTGACCCTTCAGATGTTCTGGGGCCGCAGGACCTTGGTCCTTGACAGGTGCTGGAACTACAGGACCTTGACCCTTCGGAGTCTCTGGTACCATGGAACCTTGATCCTTAACTCTTGCTGGAACCACAGGACTTTGATTCTTTAGAGGCACTGGGTACAAGGAACCTTGGTTTTTGACTGGTGCTGAGATCACAGAACCTTCATTTTTCAAAGGCCCAGGGGCCACACGATCTTGATCCTTAACTGGTATATGGACCATGGGACCTAGATCCTTCAGAGGCCCTGGGACCATGGGACCTAGATCCATCAGAGACCCGGGGACCACAGGAGTCTGATCCTTCAGAGACCCGGGGGCCACAGCAGCCTGATCCTTCAGAGACCCGGGGGCCACAGCAGCCTGATCCTTCAGAGGCCCGGGGGCCACAGCAGCCTGATCCTTCAGGGGCCCGGGGGCCACAGGAGCCTGATCCTTCAGAGGCCCGGGGGCCACAGGAGCCTGATCCTTCAGAGGCCCGGGGGCCACAGGAGCCTGATCCTTCAGAGGCTCTGGAACAGTAGGGCCTTGATCCTTTGGAGGCTCTTGGATCACAGGACCTTGATCTTTCAGTGGCCCTGAGCCCACGGCACCTTGATCCTTGTCCGGCTCTGTGGCTACAGGACCTCGATTCCTATGTGAATCACTGGAGGGATCGACCTTGCTCCTGCAGAGGAGAGAGAGGCAGTCACTGTGAGGGCAGAGCTCAGGCCAGGGGTAGGGCAGAGTACAGAATGCCTGTGCGGCCTTGGCAGGGCAGCTCCTGTTGGAGAGCCAGGAGGAGAACCTGATTTCCATGTACAGAATGTGGGGTGGGGTGAGGTGAGGAGCAGGCTCGGGAATCAGTGCTTCAGTGTGCTTGCCAATTGATTATAACCTGCACGTGACATAGTGGGGGGCACCCAGGTGGAAAGGACGGTGCTGGAATGGGACTCAGACTCCTCCACTGGACAACCCAGCAGCCTGACCACCCTCACTGCACCCAGGCTGCTCTTTCTCCAGGATAGCCAGGCCCATCCTGGGAGCTTCTCTAGCTGTCTGCTCAGATGACCCTATAGGCCAGAGGGCTCTTTCCTTGTCCTCTTGGCCTTCCACTCCCTGACCCCTCATTAAGGGCTGGCTGTGGGGAGGGGCCCATGGCATGCCAAGGAAGTGAGCAGTGGGGATGTCCCTCTTCCCCCCACCCCTTGGAAACAAAAAAGAATTTTTATCACTGACATTGTTCTCAACAGCCAGCATTTGGCGGTAATAGTAAGCAGGCCAGCTTTTAATTGGTTTTACTATTGCTTTTAAATTCTCTATGAACAATGTACCCCATTGTTGCCCCTGCTGCTGCCATTGCTCCACCTTTGCTAGACGAGGGGCTGGGACTCCCCATTTGGGCCTGGATGAGGCCCTGCAGCTCCCTCCCTACTTCTGGCTCCCTCTGCTCTGCCTGAGCCCTCACCCACACTTCCTCCAGGGTGCTAGGGCTGATGCCCAGCACCAGAATCCTCGCAGGCTGCTTGGTCAGCCTCACTGTAGACATGGCCTCATCCCTTGGCCCACCCACGTGGCGGAGAACAAGTGACATCCCTGACACCGCGGACAAACACTGCCATGCTCAGACCATGCCAGTCTGGTTTAGAATGCACACTCCTTCCTTGCAGGCCAGGCTGAAACTCACCACTCAGGAGTGGCCACTCGGCCAGTGTCACATGCCCTTGCGCACCTAGAGCACACATCCCACTTTCCAAATCGCTTCTTTCCATAGCTCACTTTGGCAGCCTTGTGGAGCACGCAGGGAGGGTTTTATCCCCTTACTTGTCAGAGGAAAAAACTGCGGCCGAGAGGGCAAGTGATGTGGAAAGTGAGAGGACCAGCACGACCCCCAGTCTGGGCCCTTCCCCTCCTGGAGCCTGGTTTCTTTCCCCTGTAGTGCCTGGCACCTAGTAGGTGCTCAGTGCAGAGAAGTGATGATTACCCTTTACACTTTGAGGCCAGTCGAGTCTTTAAGCTTAACACCACTTCAGCATTTTAACAGTTCTTACTGGCTTTTAGGACTATTTCTTACCTGCTCACTAAAGCCATTCCAGTGAGACTCCTACTTGGTAATGCATTCTTAGCTCATTACAGTTTCAGCTCCCTGAGCCTCGAGTCTGTCATCTGTTTCATTGGGTATGATATTTACTAAAAAATTTATGACAGTTAGAGATCATGTACTTAGAGCACCTGTACCGTGGTGTTCCTATATAATATTATAATTACTCTTCTATTTACTTAGAAGTAAAATGACATGTATTCGGAGTTCTTAAATTCTGACATGTCATCCTGATTCAGAAGCTCTTCACTGTGTGTAGCGTCTGAGGTGCCAGAGGGAGGCCATCCCTCAGCAGAGGACATGGGAGTCCAGGCAGCCTGTCCGTCTAGTCCCTCTCCAGGTCTCTGAGCTTCACCGTGGACGGAGAGAAGCCAGCGCGGCTCCCTGGCTCAGCACCACACAGCGCAGTGGCTCCGGCCAGACGGACACAGCTGGCGGCCACCAGTAAGACCTTAGTGTTTGTGGAGTGAGCCAAGCAAGCCACCCAAAGCATGCAGAACCCAAGGAGGGCACGCAAATACTGCTGATGCTCGACGGTTGGCCAGAGAAGGAAAGTAGAAACCTCCTTCAGAAGAGAATCAAGCAGGAAATTGATTAGATGGATCCTGTAATGAATGACCTGATAGGGTCATCCTTTAGGGGTCATGAAGCTGCGATAGGAGACAAGAAAAGGTGACCAGGGCTTAATTTGATTTTCGGGCCTTGGATTGCAAAACCGATTCCATTGGCAGGATGTGGACTCAGAGTCCCCTGTGGCCACGGTCACTGAAAGAGGGCTGGCCCTCTTCCCTCACAATGTGAGTCCCCAGGTTCACTTCCCTGAACACAGGCAGGTGCTCGGTCACGCCCCGTGTCTGACGAGCACTCTTAGCCAGTGGAAAACGGAGCCCAAACTTGCATGGATATATAACCTTTGCTCTGTTTAGTGAACGTGTTTCTGTAGGGAGTGTCTGTAGTTGTGGCAAGGCTTAGCATTAGTATTAGCAATGATAAATCAAATCTACAATATTGTCTTTTTTTGGTATTATGTTTAGAAAAAGATCAGTGTAGATTTAGTTTGAAAGCATTTGCAATATTAAAATAATTTGGCATATTAGAATATGTAACAGATTTGCTTTGTGATTCCAATATAAAATATGCAGTAATTAATTTAGACTTGTGATTTTAAGTTGAAAGATATAATTTTATAAATCTTGTAAGCAATGATGGAACTTTTATGACAATCTAATAGCTTTCATATTTTTAAGCTTAGCTTATTTTAATTATTTATACTTTAAATTATTCAGGGGAATTAAATTAAGTTATAAAATCCCCCTTAAAAGAGATTGTTAAAATGTACTAGATTTTTAAGTGTTAATTTTATCAATTAAGCATTCATTTTTAAACCCACAGCAGCCTCGGTTGGTTTTCCTCTGAATAAAACCTCCCTCTAGGGCGATACAAAACTGTCCTTGGTGCTGACTGGCCGTCCTTGTTTCCCCGGAGCCCTGTCAGTCTCCCACTGTGGAATCCCCGCAAGGTTGGCGGAAGCAGCACTTGCAGTGCCCTCTGTGTGAAGCAGACAAAGCTGTGGCCTCGGAGGGAGGCTGGGAGCGTGGCTGGTGAGTAGAGGCGGGCTGGAGTCACCCCACGCAGCCCACAGGCCAGCTGTCTTTGGACACAGCCCCTTGTTCAACCAAATCTAGTGCCCTGAGCCAGGTCACTAGACCTGGTCAAACCTTCTGAAGGCAGCATGCGACACAGACCCCTTCTCCTCCCAGCCTGTGTCCCCTCTTGGGAACTAAAATGAACAACCTGCTGGGTTTCTCTCAGCCTCTGTGCTGCTTATTGCCTGCAAGGTCTTGGGCAGTTACTCATGCATAGTAGACCTCGGTTTCAGATGATCCTTTTTTAGGCAGGGATCTGAGAGCATAATCCTTGATGTCTGTGGAGTACTTGGACGCATCACACGCATAAGCCCAGCACTATAGTAACTGTAGGAGCAGTTTACTAAGTGCTCACACACTGGACCCTCCCAGCAGCCCTGGAGGAAGGTGGGGTGGCGGGTGGCCAGCCCTGCAGCCTCACCCTCCTCGCACTGTGCTCTGACCGCCCCATGCTGATCTATACACGCCTGTGTTTTTCTTTCTTTGGGTCTGCTACCTGGACTGGCCTTTCACCCACTTTTCCCTGTCTGTCCTTGAGGGCTCCACTGAGATCCCACCTCCTCGGCAGCCCCTCCTGGATGCGGCTCTCCACGTTAGTTTTGTCCGTATCTCCCTTGCAGCGGCATCATTTTACAGTCTGTCCCCACATTCAGAGGGTACCCCATTACACGTCAGGTCTCCCCCACTAGATCATGAGCTCCTTGAAGGCAGGGGCCATCCTCCTGGCCTGCAGCCCCAGTGTCTAGCACAGGGCCTAGAACAAAGAAGGTCAAATGGAAGGATTAACAAATTATTGTCGCTGGAACCTGGCTCATCATCTACCCCGCGGCCCCAGCCAGAAACCCAGAGTCATCCTGGAGGCTTTCCTTTCCCTCAGAACCTTCACCCAGCCCACCAAGAACTGTCTGTCCCAGCTCCTAACATGTATCTCCCATTCCTTTTCCTCCCTCCCTTTTGCTCACCGGCTGTGCCATCATCTCCATGGGCCGCTGTGACAGCCTCCTGACTGGTATCCCCTGCTCCTAATTCTACTTAATTTTGTTATACAGAAATCATAGTGATCTTTCAAAAAGGCATATCTCTTCTGTGCTGGCAACTCCCCAGTGGCCTCTCCTTGCACTCAGCATTGAGAGCAGAGCCTGTTACACAGCCCTACCCAGCCAGCCAGCCTGCCCCCACCCCCTTCCCAGCTCCTGCGCCCCAACCTCCCAGGACTTCGTTCTGTTGCTCAGTCTGCACTGCTCTTTCCATTTACACCTTAGCACATGCTGTTGTCTCCTCCTGGAATATTCTCTCGCACCTTCTTCCACCGATCAGTGCCTACTCATCCACCATTCAGCTCACCAGAGCACTTTCCCAGGGAAGCCTTCCCTGGCCCGCAGATGCCACCAGATCCCCTGCTACAGGCTCTCCGAGTCCCTGGCCCTTTCTCTCACACTCTTACCACAGCAAATGACTGCATTCTTTGGATTGATGTTTCCCCTGCTGGACTGAAGCACTCAGCGGGCAGGAACATGTCACACTTGCACAGCATGGTATTCTCTGTACCTAAAACAGTGCCTGGCCCAGGGCAGGCCCTGACTAAATACACACTTACTGACCAAATGAATAAATGAGAGCTTTTTCTGTGCCAGGATCTGTCCTATTTGTAAAATGCAGTGTTTCATGGTTATATGAGACATCCTGAGTTTTAAGAACTTGGTTTTCTGCCCTTCTTCCCATTTCCATGGAAATAAACAATGCCTCCTGGGTACACGCACACTGACCTTGGACCCGTGCTTTATCAGAGCCTGGAAGCAGATTATCAAGCCCTGCCCCAGATTATCTGCTGGAAGGGCTTCCTTTCCTCCCACTGGTTCCTGCCCTTGCATGACAATTCTAATCTGCCAAGAATTTTTTTCTCCCCAGCCTGAGTCCTGATGGAGCATCAAAGCAGCCCAG